TTTTCTTTTGTGAAACTAAAACAACATAATAATTGAAATATTTGTGGGGAAGGAGCAAAATGTCAAATTTTTTCCCTCTTATAAAAATATATTGGGATATATGCTTACGCTTAAACTTACTAAACCGTATCATTAGCATCATTATATGGGGATTTGCAGTGTGTGAATGTTCATCATGCAGAACACAAAAAATGCTATTAATATATCATATTGTTACTTCACGACATCCTTAAAAATTCTGGCGGGATGGACCTTTTTATAATGTCGTATGCACTAATAAAAAAAAGGGGATCGAGTATCTACTCAAGATATCATTAGACATTTTTTATATTAATCATTGAACAATATATATATGCATGCATTAACCGTGTGTGTGCGAGTGTTTTGTAATTAATTGATTGATTTTATTTAAGTATCCGCGCGAAAAAATTTTCGAATCTCCTTTTTCCTAAATCATCCCATCAACAGAAACAGCAACTTTCTCAAACAAGCGTGCGCTGAGGCAATATTCTGTAGTGTACTCGCTTCTAGAGTTGGAGTGTCATCATCAACAACAACACCATCGCCATCAACACCACCACCGTCACCATATCAAAAATCATATTATAATTTAGTCAATCGGTAACAAAAAATTAAGCAACAAGAAGCAGCCATTATTTTTTATTGTTATCATCACCGTCAACAACAACATCATCAAACATAATAGCGTGTCATTCATTGTCTTGGTTTGCTTGCTTGGTAAGTTCATGACATGACATTATTACTTTTTTTTTTACCATCATATATATCTATCTATATCATATTGTTGTTGTTATAGAGTAGCGTAAGTATTTATTTATATTCAAATTAATGTATAAAAGAGGAGAAAGTCTTACCTCGACATCCAAAAGCTATCAACTGCTTGCTCGCTTTCTCTACTTGTTTCATAGAAAGAAACGAAAAAGATTTTCCCACCAACCCTATAACAACAACAATATTAACTTTTTTTTCAATCGATTGATTGATTAATTAATTAATTAATCTTCATCAATCAATTAATATCATCGGTCAAACAAAGTGTTTGATTCCATATACCTACCACATCATATGCACTATTAAAAAACCGATTATTTATTTTGACATGTTTATTTTAGAAAGGTTGTACTCGTACTCAAAATATTCGGTAGCTGCAATATATACCGTCGCCACCAATAACTTCAACCACCGCCAGAACCAGTACACAAATACCACCACTACCACTATTAACGAGTTTGCTACTACTCTTCAAGAGGGAAAACTCGATAATTACCAACAAAGAGGAGATTCTGCTAGGAAAAAATCAACATTCAGACTCATACGTGCACATTATATCATTCCACCCAAACCCAACAACACCAACAAAGAGGAGGATTGCATCTTGCAACAACAACAAAAAACTGAAAAATTGCAAACACGAGAAGAACCTTTGCAATCCAACAAATTTCCCCAA